GCCAAACTCAATACATGCATAGAAAGCCATACATAGGGGCTACGGCTACCATGAAGATCTATTCAATACTAGCAACGAGTAAGACAACGAGCAAGACTAGGGAATATCCCTATAACATTCGATGACTCGGTCTGAGGAGTTTTTCTTTAAAGAAGCACAGAGACTAACTTGGGCACAGGCAGACTAGCTAAACTTGCGACGGTTCTTGAATGGAGGAGAGTGGAGGGACTTCCTTTCAAATCCAAGCAGCTCAAGATGAAAGCGTTTGTTCCCTGTTTTTTCCCGTGATACAGCTCTTGAGGGCTGACGCATGGCACGGGAGATGAAAGGACTAGCAGGGACAATATCACTAGTTGCGAGGTGAGGGTGGAATAGGATGAGGAGGCAACGGAAGAGACTCTGCTACCACAGGACAAGATACGTTCCCAAAATAGGGGGACCCCAACACAGACCGCAAAATGATGTAACCCTTGTTATGCAAACCACCAAACATATATATATATATACCCCTAATTTGGGGAAACCCCTGAAGCCTACAAACCCAACATATAACCCCAGTTTCCATTTCATGTTCCATTGTCTTTTCCATTTGATTCTCCAGTATTGGTGATAATATCCCTATATATAACCCTAAACCCCAAATGGCAGTTTCCATATTCTTTTCCGTTATACCCGATGTAATCCCTACCCTCCCTATATACCCCTATCCCTAAACCCTAAACCATATATATCCGCCGTACAACCCCTATATAAGCCCCTATATATCCCTATAAATCCTTACATCTCCCCTATATAGCCCCTGTATAAACCTCCTACATAAACCCCTATATAATCCCCTATATAAACGCCTATATATCTCATATATAAACCCCTATAAAATACAGTAGTTTCCATTTTCTTTTCCATTATCCCTAGGTATGCCCTACATGTTCCCGTTGTCCCGAGTCCCTAGTATCCCCCCAATATAACCTCTATAGAATCCCAAAAATCTCTATATAAACCCCTTTAGAGGTGCCAGGTAAAGCCTTGCTCTGGGTCATCTCTTGCTGCGATGCCTTCGTCTGGCTAAGCCTGGTAGCGGCAGATTTTGGATTTAGGGCTTAGGGTTTAGGATTTTAGGTCCCCAAATTTGGGGGTATCTTGAGGGTCCCTATAGGAAGGACTATAACTTTTTGGAATCTATATTGGGGTCCCCCTCTTTCCAAATGAGCCCCATATTACGGGTTATAGCATTACGACGTATCGCAGGTCAACGCACGTTTTCTGGAAAAAACACATATACGGAATTATACGGACGCGCGTCATGTGCTTACGCATTTCGTTGACTGGCTCAGTTCTAAGCTCTTTCTAGTGGATTTTATTTTATCTTTGGAAAACCATTACTTATTGGATGTCTTATCTTTCTTCTCACTCATTTGTCTTCTTCTCACATGCTTATTTTCTGATGCTGCTGTCGTCAGTTTATTTGCTGAATGTATGAAATGAAAGGATTAATTTCACGAATTAAATAATTGAAGCAATCAAATAAAATGAGTTAGCAAACGCATGCGATAAAGTGAGCTTACTGAATGGGCCAACACCATAGGCGGACATTGAAAGGCAACACTTCAATGCAGCTTGGCAGCATCGTCTTGGTCTTCTGGGCCAGGAGGTCATACGCCTCGAGAGGCATCGAACACATTACCGAAGACACATACCTCAATGTGTTCAGGGGATAAACACTCCTAGGCAGAAAGCATGTTCCCGATGGTGGGAGATGGTCCCCCTGATGTGGTTTGTGAGGCGTCGGCGCTTACAAAACCACAGCCTTTTCTTCCATGCCTTGGAGCATGCGGAATCAGCAAACTCAAGCGCACTCCCGTAATCCCCAAATACTATGGTCAGCACTACTATCATGGCCCAGAAGCCCGCATAGTTGCTGGTAGGCCTGGGACTTCTTGCGATTGATGCGCTTTTTCCGCCTAATTCCGTCACCCTAAACTCACTTCTCAAAATCACATGGCAAGGCTACGAACAACAATTGCATTGAGAAAACTTCTTAGAAGGCGCCCGGACAGAGTTCACGCTTGTAGGCCGCACCCTAAGTTGTATAGTAATGTTCTCATCCCCCTATCTATCAAAACACCCATACATATCCCTACGCATCCCTACATAGCCCCAAAAAATGTCCCGGCATACCCCCGCAGCCTAATTTGCATGCAGGTGGCGTGGACGCGCTTGGTCTCCTCCTTCTCAAGCTCACTTCGCTCGTCGGCGAACCTGTCACCTGCAAGCAGTCATGTATATGAAGGTCATATAAGTTTCTATATAGGGTTCGATGTGGGCATACTAGGGTATGTAGGGTTTTAGAGGTATGTAGGGGTACATCTGAGTTATATGGGGGTATGCAGGGGCATGGAAAAGAAAATGGGAACTACTACATTACTTAGCGCGGGGGTTGATTAGCAAGAGGGTTTGCCTCATGCGAAACAAGAAGCTAGCTGGTAGGTTGTCAAAATCATGGCCCCTTCTTGGGTACCCTACATATGAGGGTCGCATTGTAATAGGAACCGCAAGAAATCACAATGTTGAAGGCCTACCGTACAGGGCTTCGACACACAGCTGTTATGCAAGAATTTAATTTGATTGAAAGACTACATCTCAAATCTCAAAGTGGTGAAAATTAACAGAAGGACAGCAATGATATGGGGGTTGCGGGCTCGGCTTTGCATAGGTTGAGATCAAGCTCTTCAGTGCTCTTCAGTACTCATGTCACTCTTGGACGGACGAAGGACCCTTGTTCTGTTTTGCCACATGGCACTTTTTGTAGCCATGCTACACTCGCACAACGGCAATAGCATGTTCTGCTTGTAAATTTGCTCTTGTCTGCTGAGCTACCGGAGGTACATGCTAGCAGCCGTTTGCGCAGCAGCCCTACTATTCTTCAAGCCCATGACAGCCACCTGACCTTGCCAACGATGCTTTTTCTTGGAGCATCTATGTGAGAACTTAAATACCATGTTGTGCAAGTCTACGATGTGAAGGCACAAAGATGTGCACTACCTTCATATCTTCCCCACCGGTGCAACTGCTGTCCAGCTTGTCAGTATCTGCTTCATGCTTACTAATGTCATGTGCGGGTGCATAATTTCTGTCATCACAATGAGCCTCATCACGAAAGCATTGCCCCAATACTTCGGGGATTTTAATAACCCCAATCCCCTTTGATAAGGACCCTATGACTATGCTTCCACTGAAACTCAGTCTTACTGCCATGGTCTTCCTGAGCCGTTGGCGGAGCTGGTCCAGCATGTCCTGGGCATTTCTCAACAACAGGTATACCTTTTCAGCGGCCAGGGATATGTAGAGCCAACAGGAATACCTAAACCCTAAAACCTAAACCCAAAACCCTAAACCCTACATAGTAATTTCCATTTTCTGTTCCATTATCCCCAAATGACCTCAAGATAACCCTAAACCCTGAATCCTAAACCCTTAAATCCCAGACCCTAAACCTTAAATCCAAATGCCAAGCCCGGAACACAGGATTCGAGGAGTTGCCTTCACGGATCCTATGTGGCTTACATGGAGAAATCTCAAAACCCAAAGCAGCCCAGTTCCACCCCGAATATAGACCCCAAAATACTGAATCCTTATTCTAATGATTCTAGTGACCCGAAAACAAAGACTCCTGATTTTAGGTGTTTTTTTCGCGGGACCTTTTTTCCAAGGCACGAATTTCAGGGTTTGGGGTCTAGGGTTTAAGGAACCCCCCTGTTCGCTCCTTGATGCTGGAGGTTGCGAGGTCGAAGGAGTCCAAGCCTTCGGGCTTCCGGGACTCCTCATCGGAGTGGTACCTGGGGATTTACAAAAGAATTAGGTTTTCAGACATGGGGTGTAGGGCTCATGGTAAAGGATCTGGGGCTTAGGAATCATTCGGTTTATGGTTCAGGGTTTGGGGTTTGGGTTCAAGGTATCTCAGCACTCGAGGATCCTTTTTTTCATCTCCATGGCAAAGACCATGTTGCGCTCAAGGGGTTCGAAAGCAATCTAAATCAAAATTGCAGGATAAAAGCCATCTACCACCTATGCATGAGTTGAAGAGACACATAGGTGGTTGTCAAAATTCATTTCCCTTTTTGGATCCCTATTATAATACGGCACCTAATATTTAGGGTACCCGAAAAGGGACCATAGTTTTGACAACCACCCACATGCTGGGGAAGAGGCATCCCCCAGGAGGGCCAGAGCGCCCAGCTGCTACAGCATGACAGAAGGTGGGTATTGTCAGATCACAACATAGGGGTCTTTAGGGTTTAGGGTTTAGGGCAGGGATCCCTAGACCCTAAACCCTAAACCCTTAGACCTCAAAACAGTATGGAGTTGTTGCCAAAATGGTTTTGGAAAAGAGGCGGGAGTTTGTCGAAATAAGTGTATCCTTATAGGGACCCTGCTGGATATGGGGGGGGGTACCTTTTTGGGCCCCCATAATAAGTATTGTAGTAT